GGATGGGGTGAGCCTGGCCAGGAGGGGCCGGCGAGCTGGCTGGGGTGGGACAGCCCTGCGACCCCCCCAGCGGTGCCCAGCTCCCACGGCTTCTGTTGAAACTCCCCTGTAAAGCTTGGCGTGAACGTGCCCGTGGACAGCGCTGCGGGGGGTCCGACCCACCCGAGGATAAATCGCTTTTCAGCCTGCGCCATCCTGTGCTGCCCCGAGCGGGGCAGGGCCGGTTCTGCTGCTGTGTTCTGGAAAGACTTTCTGTTAGGTAAAAATAAAACCTAGTTTTAAAAGTACTGAGGACCCAACCCTGGCTGTTGAATTCGCACCGTGTGAGGATGGTCTTTGCTTTTGAGCAAAGATGCTTTTTTTTTTTTTGCATTTGCCCTCATCTTCTCAAATCTGGTGCCTAAATCCTGGCTCCGGGGGAAGCTACCCGTGCCGGGGCAAAGAAGAGCAGAGCCGAATCTCTCATGCTTTTTCCGCAGCAGGATCTCGCGGAGGCTTTTTCTGGCGTGTCCCTGGCTCTGTAGTGTCATTTCCCATCAGCAGAGGGAGGCAGGTCCCTGGCTGGCTGCCGTCCTGCTGGGAAGCGAGCCTGGTCCAACTCCATCTCCATCCGAGAGGGAGGGCTTTTACCGGGATGTGCAAGTGGGAGGACAAGGGCTGGCCAAGGAGCGTGAGGAAATGAAGAAGCCCTTTGGGTGATAGAAGAAGAAAAAAATAGTAGTGATGAGGCTGTAGGAAGGGGTTTAATTTCCAAACTCTGGTTTGCAGAGCGGGATAGGCGCGTGCATTTATAGTTCCCGTCAGCGGGTAGCTCCGGCCGTGCACCATAAAGGTAACCCCAGCGTTGGAAAGTGATTGATTTGGGGTTCCCTATGAAATTACGGCACTGGGTACTTCTGGGAGTGTGTGTTTGCGGAGAGGCAGGGGTGTGTGGTTTTGAGCTTGCACAGGCGTTGGCAGGCGGGACGGGGCTGCCAGGGCAGGGGCGAGGGTCATGTGTGCGGGGCTGGGGTTTAGGGGATGTTTTTAAGAGCTTGTGCAATTGGGGATTTTCGGTTTCGCCAGCCCAGCCGCTCACAGATCAGGGGTGTTGCTTTTATTCGCCTGCTGGTTTTCCACGCTGTTGGGGGTCGTGCATTGCCCTACAACTGGGACAAGGTGAGATACGGGCACTCAGACGTGGTACCTGACAAACAGACAAACCAACCCAGCATTTCCCTTCCTTGCTCCTGTCTTTTTGTTGTTTAAATCTCAAATTTTTGAAGACGGACCTTGCAGAAATCTTCAGCCACACCTGAACCAGGGAGAGCCCTTGCTCGATGGAGGGAGTCGATGGAAGCCCTGGGCTCTCTGTCTGCGGAAGGCACCACGTCGCACGGAGCCGCGATCGCATCCTGAGCTGGATTTCATGTGGAATTAGTCGGCAGAGGAAATCTTTCCGAAGAGACGAGACCTTTTCTCAGGAAGCCAGGCATTGGCAGGGAGCAGATCTTTCTTATTTTGGTGGGTTTATTGGGATTTTTTTCTTTGCATTTGGCTGAGCCAGGCTCGTTATTTGTTCAGTGACGCAAGGTTCCCCGGGTACCCGAGCTGAGAAACAGGCCAGGCCGTTTACTTTTAAAATCAGAGCAAATATGTAACTTAATTGTGCAAATAGCACAGGGAAGCTGCCCGGGGCCGGGGCTGGTGCGGCTGCAGCCCCGTCGTGAGCCCACGGGAAGCATCCACCAGCGAGCGCAGCCGCTCTCCTGGCTGGGGAGACACAGCCTGACCTAAACCTCACATCACAACGCTTTAGCGAGGCTTCTTTTCAAGCAAATAGGTGCGATTTTAGCCAATCCAGAGTATTTTTTTTTTTGTTGCGAAATTCTGTCCGCTGAACAGAGCGCTTCTGTGCTGTGACATTTATTAAAAAACAAGCAGCAAGAGAAACTACGTGTTTACTTTCCAAACTAGGCATTTATTTTATAACAGTGTCGTAGGTCAATACGGATTTTTATTTTTTTTTTTCAACTGGCTGAGTTTTGTGAACTTTAAGTAAACAGGAGCGGGTTAGTCAGCCAGCTACTTAATTGGCCGACAGTGTTTTCATTAAGGGAATTAAAAGCGCTGGTTAGAGGTGAGTGAGTTGGACATACATGGCTGGAAACAGCTCCATCCCAGAGCAACTCGGATGCCTCCTCCCTTGTCCTAATTACCCTTCAGCCCAAACTGCCTCCGTGAACACCAGAGACTGCAGCAGCCTGTGAGCCAGCAGCGCGAGGGGAAAACACATCAGCCACGAACCAAACGGACACGTAACCAGCCACAAATCCTCTCTTTCATATATATATATATATATGTATATATATGTATGTCTCATTAAGTGTAGTAAGAGAATAAAAGTTTTATACTATTTACATCCACTTCTAGGAAGGGGTGGGAGGGATTTATTTTTGTTAATTATTATTATTAATGGACTTTGCTATGATGCAGCCCGTGAAACTCCTCTTCCACACACGCAGCAGGGACCCAGTGTCACGTTGCTCTGGTGGGGACGGGATGGGACGTTCGGGGACGGGGATGGGACCTGGCCGTCAGTGGCAGCCGCATGATTTCACCACCATGTTGCGGTGCTTCTTGAGGATGACGTTGTTGTTGCTGTCATAGTAGAGGACGGAGGTGGCACTGAGCTTCGTGGGGGCACAGCACGCCTTGGGCACGGCCTCGGGCTTCATCAGGTGGACCTGGGGGATGGATGGAGCCCGTCAGCGCCGGCGAACGTGGCTCCGGGCAGAAGAAAAAGCATCAAACCAGCTCTTGACTGCAGAAAGCCTGGGTGAATGGGGAGATTATTTCCAGCTTTTTGCAAAAATATTTATTCTAAACTCTGGGCAGTCCTTGCTGCAGTTTATATTGGATCGGGGCTCATGGCACTGCGCGGGCGAGGCAGCCCCTTCATTAATTTGGGATTTCTGAGCGCTTTTCTCACTGTAAATAGGCAAATGGCTAAAAAAACCAATAAATCGGGGCAGCACGAGTCTCACTCCTGTGTGGGTGGGGGGTGCTGGATGCTGTTGCAATAGAGATTCTCCTTCAGGGCTCAGTGCTGCCCCAAATTTAACGTATTGCACTAAAATCTTAAGTACACAACACCTTTCTGAACACAACTCTCCTTCGGCTCCTTCGTACCCTGCTCAGGACACAGGTTATCCCGGTAATTTGCCGTACAGCGTAAGCTGGGAGGTTCACAGGCTGCCGGACGCACGCAGCCCTTGCCGGCTTTACCCGACATGTGCGATTAATTTATTGCAGGGGCAGCCGAGCTCTCCTAGTTCGGAAGTCCGGTGTTTTTGCTGTCAAACCCTGCTATTTGCGGCACCGGCCGGGGCTGGCATGGCTCCCCGGCCGCGTTTGCCCCGGTGCTTCCCAGAAGGGCCGGATCCGGGCACCAGGTGATTCACGTCCTGCCCAAACGGCTCCGTTTTGGGAAGAGTGTTGGGTTTGGGGGTGGTGGGTGGGTGTGTGGGGGGGAAGGGGACCTCTCCCCGTCGCTGCCAGGATCGTGCCCAGCCCTGGACGGGGCCTCTGGCAGCTTTGTCAATGCAAAAATTAAACCCCGCCAGGCAGCACCTTCAAAGGCTTGGCCGAGGACTCGGCGCTCCCTGTAATTAACCGCGAACACCAGAGCCGGTGTGACTCTGCCATTGGGAAATCAAACACTCACAGGGCAGGAAATTCCAGAAATTAAAGCACCGGCTGGGATGCGGGGTGGGTTTGGGAAAAACGGGGCATTAAAGCCTTCCTGCTTAGAATATGCTGAGCCCAATGTTTGGGCGCTGAGCCACAGCGGTGCTTCATGGGACCTCAGACGAAACCCTCGCGCGTGGCTGGCGAGGAGGATGCACGGGCGACACGATGCCCTTGCCCACCAGCTGACAGGGGAGCACCCATCTCCAGATGTTCATGCACCCACCGATGCTTGGAACTGGAACTAAACTGGTTCCATTGGGAACCGGAGCTAAACTGCACCCTCTGACCTTAAACACTCTCAAACCCAGGGGCGCCCAGCCCCAAATCCAGCTCTCCATCGGGACCCACTGGGCTCCAACTGCTCCCCCAGGGCCCCCCAGCATTCCCCCCCCCCCGGGGGCTGCCATTGCGGGTTGCACTGACCAGGGACTGCAGGATGGCGTGGTTGGTGGCGTTCATGCAGGAGTCCAGGGGGAAGGCGCACTCCCCCTCACAGTAGTAGGCTGAGTACCCCTGCGGGGCGATCACCCAGTCCTGCAAAAGAAAAAAAAGTTTACACTGGTTACGCCATGAGCTTCACGCTTTCTGCACCCCTTCATCCATTCCCCACCTGCAAAAACAACCCAGCTGGCCGTGCCAGCAGCAAGGGTCTACTTTGATTTTTCGGATTGAGCCATAAGCTGTTCAGGATCACCAGTGGGGTTTGGGGCTGTGGCAGTTCGTGTTTGCCCTCCCAGCTCCCGGGATGGGGCTGCCCTGTGCCGCTCAGATCACTTTGTGGGCAGGAGAAGCCAGGCTGGGAGGGAGCCCCGGGGAGGACGATGGGGTTTTTTTTTTTTTTGCGTTTACTTCTCCCGGTAGACAAGTACCAGCCAGCCGAGGTCCTGAAAGCTGACGTAGAGCTCGTGGCGCCGGCAGACCTGCCGCCCGTCCGTGGCGTGGACATCGTCTGCGGGAGAAGGGGACAGGCAGCATCAGCCCCGCGGTGCCAGCATCCCGACCACCCCACCCCGGCTGCAGCCATCCCCGCTCAAGGGTGGGCTTGAACAGCCCACGCGATCGGGGTTAGTCTGGAAGAACAAAAGAAGAGGAGCCTCCGTGGTTGCACAAAGGGAAAAGAAGCTTCAAACTGGCCTGACGTTTATTGCTCCAACATCGGGATGAGGGGATTCAGCCTGGGAAGGGCTAAATCCCAGCTCTGCTCATGGCGGAGTTGGTTTTGAGGGTTTCCCAAGCTAAATGAGCTCAGAAGAGCTGGGGCTTCCCGCTCCCCTCCTGCCCGAGTGGCTTCCCAGGGCCGTGACACCCTCCTGGGGTGACCCCCCGAAAACGCCACGAAACACCATCCCCTCGGGGGGCACCCGCGCCCCAGACCCACTGCACCTCTTGAACTGCAAACAACCCCAATCCTGAAACCCCAGAGCTCTTCGCTCTGCTCCCCTGGGCTGCATTTCTGGGCCAAAATTAGGATTCCTTTCAGGGCAGGGTACTAACAAAAGGTCCCTTGATCATGGCAACAGCAGAGCCCATTTTTTTTTTATGGGGACCGCTTCTTGCCCCAAAGGTTCTTACCAAAAATTCCCGGCAGCTTATTTGGATGTGGGAGGTCGTTCGTCTTCTTGGGCTGCCGCCTCCTCGGGGGCTTGGCTGCCCGCGTAACACGCGCGGGGCTGGGGCTCGCCCGGAAAAATGTCACCATGAAGGGCTGCTTGGAGCGGGGCCCCCGGCGCCCCAGCAGCCCCGCTGAGCCCGGGTCGACGCTGTGCCCTGCAGGGACGGGACCACGCGTCGGTTTGCTCTCAAGAATGAACTCATTCGGTTAAAGTAAGGAGAAAAAAAACAGAAGGAAATTTGCAGCGGAGAGCTGCGGTTTCGGCATCCCGAGTGGCTGGGCCCTCTCCGGGGGTCCCGCGCCGCCGGCCGTCAGGCGGCGACCCACGGCGC